CAGAGGATCCAAGGCCTCTATAATCCAACTGAAAAAGAGATATTGGCAGCATATGAAAGGGTTTGAGCTGCTTCAGAAGTGATTGGTAGTGAAACACAGCTCCTCCTGGCATCCCGACTGTCAGTGCTGGGCTGGATATTCAAAGGGAGGGTCCCCTCTACACAGCACACAGCTGATGCTACATGGAGTAAGTAGGTCACACTTATTACACAATGGGCTTGAATAGGAAACCCCAGTCGCCCAGGAATCTTACAAGTGATCATGGACTGGCCAGAAGGAAAAGATTTTGGAATATCACCAGACGAGGAGGTTATGCATGCTGAGGAGTCCGCACTGTATAATAAACTATCAGAAAATGAAAAGCAATCTGCCCTGTTCACTGATGGGTCCTGCCATACTGTGGGAAAGCATCAGAGGTGGAATGCTGCTGTATAGATTCCTATAGGACAAGCTGCAGAAACTGCTGAAGGAGAAGGGGAATCGAGACAGTTTTGCAGAGGTGAAACCATCCAGCTCGCTTTAGATATTGCTGAATGAGAAAAGTGGCCAGTACTTTATCTCTATACTGACTTATGGATGGTGGGCAATGCCCTGTGGGGGTGGCTGCAGCAATGGAAGCAGAGCAACTGGCAGCACCGAGGCAAACCCATCTGGGCTGCCCCATTGTGGCAAGATATTGCTGTCCGGGTAGAGAACCTGGTTGTAAAAGTACATCATGTAGATGCTCAGGTACCCAAGGGTTGGGCCACTGAAGAACATCAAAATAAACAGCATGCGGATCAGGCTGCTAAGGTTGAAGTGGCTCAGGTGGATCCAGACTGGCAACATGAGGGTGAATTATTTATAGCTCAGTGGGCCCATGACACCTCAGGCCATCAAGGAAGAGATGCAACATCTCTTGACAGGCTTGTGATTGAGAGGTGGACTTCATCATGGACTCTATTGCACAGGTTATCCATGAATGCGAAATATGCACTGTGATCAAACAAGCCAAGCGGTTAAAGCCTCTCTGGTATGAAGGACGATGGCTGAAATATAAATATGGGGAGGCCTGGCAGATTAATTATATCACACCCCCACAACCCTTCCAAGGCAAGTGCCATGTGCTCACCATGGTGGAAGCAACCACCGGATGGCTGGAAACACATCCCGTGCCCCATGCCACTGCCCGGAACACCAACCTGCACCTTGAAAAGCCAGACTTATGGCAACATGGCACCCCAGAAAGAATCAAGTCAGACAATAGGACTCATTTCCAAAACAACCTCATAAACACCTGGGCCAAAGAGCATGGAATTGAGTGGGTATATCACATCCCCTATCATGCTCTCTACAACTACCTGAAAGGAGCTTGTAGCGAGGTGGGTGTTGTTGGTCTCTCCTCTCAAGTAGATAACGATAGAACAAGAGGAAATGGGTTCAAGCTGCGCCAGAGGAGGTTTAGATTGGATATTAGGAAAATTTCTTCACGGAAGGGGTGGTCAAGCATTGGAACAGTCTGCCCAGAGAGGTGGTGGAGTCACCATCCCTGGAAGTGTTCAAAAAATGGGTAGATGTGGCACTTTGGGACATGGTTTAGTGGACATGGTGGTGTTAGGTTGATGATTGGAATGATGATCTTAGAGGTCCTTTCAATCTTAATGATTCCTAGTTTTTACTTTCATTATAAATGATCCAGCCACCAAGCCAGGAGGCGTGGGGTTGCTACTCTACCTTTAATTGGTTTAGTGGCGGAGTTGGTAATGTTAGGTTAATGGTTGGACTGGATGATCTTACAAGGTCTTTTCCAACCTAAATTATTCTATAATTCTATGCACCAGCCTCCAGGAAAATTGAACTATACAATGGACTGTTAAAGACTACCCTGAGAGCACTGGGTGGTGGGACATTCAAACACTGGGATACACATTCAGCAAAAGCCACCTCGTTAGTCAACACTAGGGAATGTGCCAAGCAAGCAGGCCCTGCCCAATCAACACTTTTACATACTGTAGAAGGGGATAAAGTCCCTATAGTGCACATAAAAAAATATGCTGGGGAAGACAATCTGGGTTACTCCTGCCTCAAGCAAAGGCAAACCCATCTGTGGGATTGCTTTTGCTCAAGGACCTGTGTGCATTTGGTGGGTAATGCGGAAGGATGGGGAAGTCCAGCGTGTACCTCAAGGGAATTTGATTTTGGGTGAAAATAGCCAATGAACTCAATGGTATGATGTTAATTGCTATATAATACTGTATGGCATCAATTCTATATGCCATATCAACAGTATTACAGTGAGAATCACCCAGAATGAACTTTGATGAAACTGAGCAAAGTGCAGTAGTGATGGAACCAGAACTACCTTCGGCATGCAACAATCCAACACCACACACCACCTCTCCTGCTCTGAAGGACTGTGATGACAGATGGAGCCCAAAGTCATGGACTGAAAGAACTCAATGGACATTTTAGAGGGATGGCCCATAGACTAAGGGAATGATATCTGTGTGCATATATCAAAAGACAGGAAAAGTGGTGGTGATTAATTGGAATGCATTGGAAAAGGTAGAACCTGTGCATGACATAGATGGTATAGAATAAGGGGTGGATACTGTCCTGGTTTCAGCTAGGACAGAGCTGAACTGACCAAAGGGGTATTCCATACCATATGACATCATGCTCACTATATAAACTGGGGGGAGTTGGCTGCAGGGTAGCACTTGCTGCTCAGGGACTGGCTGGGCATTGGTCAGTGGGTGGTGAGCAACTGCATTGTGCATCACTTGCTTTGTATATTCTTTTATCATTAGTATTATTATTATTATTTTCTCTTTCTCTGCTGTCCTATTGGACTGCCTTTATCTCAGTCCATGGGTTTTACTTTTTTTTTTCCAATTCTCTCCCCCATCCCACCAGGGGGAGGGTGAACAAGTGGCTGTGTGGTGCTTAGTTGCCGACTGGGGTTAAACCATGACAGAAGGACTTGAAATTTGACATTGCTGTGCATTAGCATGAGAGATCAGGTGTCATGGTTTTAAGACATTGCTATGGCTAGCCAATTTTTAGTTTCACAGAGAATGTTATCAACAAATGCTCTTCATAGAGAGGCTCTTTGTTACAGTCAGGATGACTCACTATGTTATACACTCCTGCTTACCAGATACCTATGCAAAATAAAGTTATGCTGCTCTGGCCATTACTTTCATTTGTCTAATTTTCCTCATTGATTTATTTATGTATTGGAAACTGTCCAGAAAGGTGCTACTAAAGCTTTTATAATAAATTTTATGTTAGTGCAAACAGGCTATTCCTTCTCCCTTTGTTTTCTTTTTAAGCCACAAGGGATCTCTCCCAGCTCTCCCTTAAAATCAATACAAAATAGGGAAATCTAATTTCTGAGTGTACATGCATGTAAGTTTCACAGGAGAAAAGACATATGCAATGCTATTGACTACAAACCATTTTATTTTACTTGTTCCTCTAAAACTATGTTAAAAAATAAAAGTAGAGATGAGATTTTTTTTCACGAAACTGTGCTATGTAATAAAAGTTTTAGCATATATGTTTAATTTATTTCCATGAACAACAAAGCTGATATCATAGCCAAAAAAACTACAGAAGCCTGCATCACTGTCATAATCACACACTTCACAAATACGATGGCCCACTCCCTCTCACTCCATTTTTCAGACCAATAAAAACAGCTACATGATATGCAAATTTCTCAGATGTAATTTCAATTTTTTTAAACAAACAAAATTTTGCAGTGACAGTGTATGAAAACACATGCACACAGTCAACTTCCCTATATTAACCTAATCTACAAGATTACAAAACTGTGCACAAACCTTATAGTTAACACCAGAACAAGGATATGAATACCCTCAATTACTAGGAACTAAAGATTGTAATCGAAAATCTTCATTTCACATAAGAAATAAATTTTCTTCTCCTTAAGGGATATCTCAGTTCAGAGGAAAACAAGTTGAAAGCAAATCTACATGAGGAGAGATCAACTTTAAAGTGCCTGCAATTATTTTGCACATTGTCAGTTTAGCTTTGGTTTAGTGGCATCAGTAATTTTTAAGGATTGTAAATTATTAGAAGCCATTTATGAAGCAGCATTCAACTGCACATGAACAAAACTTTGAAAAACTCATAGAAAGCATTCCCACATTCAGGGAATACTGCATACATAGCATGCCCTTGCAGAAATGATGGGCACTACTGGTACTTAGCAGTTCTAAGAACCCAGACAACACTGAATAGAGAAAGTCATCCTGGTTTTGAAATACATTTTTCCTAAACCTTCTTCATCCATTCCTAGCATATGTACTTGGAAAAGTTACATAGCACTGTGCTTCAGCTTCTGAACCCCCAAAATGAGTATGAACTTGATTTCTTTCATCAGCATAACTGTATTACTATAAATTTTACATCAATAACTTGGCAATGATACAAGCTGAAGCGGCCAAATGCAAAGCAGTAAAGGTGCACAACCTCTAGTCAGCTAGTAAAAGCTGAGCCTCATCACAGGCTAAAGTCCTGGCTAGAATTTTATAGTGTAAATTTTTATATTAGTCTTAACGCTGCAGGACTTGAATTTTTCATAAATTCTGACAACACCTCAATAAAATAGCAAGTATTATTCTCAGTTTTTAGAAACTAAACTGAAACTACACAAACATGTGAATGTTGGACATAATACGTAATTGCATACAGATCCACAACTCACTTCCAACTGTAATTAAAAGCTCCTTTAATTGAAAGTACCACAATTACTTTCATTCTCTAGAAGTGACAAGTCTCAAATCTTTAGTTGAAGTGTGATCTTCCCAGTTTTCTCCCTACCTTCATTTTCAATGACAACATGAAGACAGGATAATTTCCAGGTTTTCATACATTAAACTTATTCTAACCCTGTTTCGTTAGAACTGGAAAACAATCCTTGTTTGAAATATCTAGTCAAGAGTTTCGTTATGAAATTCTATTGAAAATAAATTGAATAGGCTTGTCCTTACCTGGGTAGGAAGACACTTTCTACTACATAGAAGTCTTGCATAAGAACATCTCTGTCCGGTCTTGATGTCAGGTTTCCTACTGTGTATCCTATTCCCAGCTGTATAGCACCTTTAATAGCTGAGGATGCAGTCTGCAGAGAAAGTAAGAATTCAAGCATGAGTTTGGCTAAAAAGAGATATCTGTTCTTTATTTGTAACATTATATGCCAAACTGTTAATCATTTTCATAATAATGCCATGTCATCTTTACCTCCTGGACCTCAGAGACACGACCGCTTTTCAATTAAAAGATTTAAAAGAAACACTATGTTGTAGCAAAAGCTACAAAAATCAGTTCTCTGGTTGTACAGACTGAGACTTTTCAAATTCCCCAAATAATTTAGACATTGGGTTCTAACTTATCATAGAATCACAGAATACCAGGTTGGAAGGGACCTTCAGGATCATCTGGTCCAACCTTTATTGGCAAAAGCACAGTCTAGACAAGATGGCCCAGCACCATGTCCAGAAAAATCTTAAAAGTGTCCAGTGGTGGGGAGTCTGCCACCATTGGATTATTCCAGTAGCTGATTTTCTCACTGTGAAAAATTTTCCTCTTGAGTCCCATTGGAATCTCCCCAGGAGTAACTTCTACCCATTACCCCTTGTCTTTTCCATGTGACTCCTTGTAAAAAGGGAGTCTTCATCTTCTTTGTAGCCACCCTTTAAATACTGGAACTCCCCTAGGCCTTCTTTCCTCAAGGCTGAACAAACCCAGTTCTCCCAGCCTTTCCTCATATGGCAGGCTTCTCAGTCCTTTGACCATCTTTGTGGCCCTTTTCCAGTCCCTCTCCAGCCTGTCCATGTCTCTTTTGTATAGCAGGGACCAAAACTGAACACAGAATTCCAGGTGTGGCCTGACAAGCGCTGAGCAGAGTGGGATAATGACTTCTTTACGCTCTTGTTGATGCAACCCAGCATCCTGTTGGCCTTCTTTGCTGCAGCAGCATGCTTTTCACTCATATTGAGCTTGTTGTCCACCTGGACCCCCAGTCCCTTTCCACAGAGCTGCTCCCCAGCTGGGTAGATCCCAGCCTGTGCTGCACTCCTGGATTATGTTTTCCCAGGTTTTTCCCAGACCTTACATTTGTCTTTGTTGAACTTCCTAAGGTTCTTGTTAGCCCACTCTTCCAACCTATCCAGGTCTTCCTGGAGGGTGGCTCTCGCTTCCAAAGCATCCACTTCCCCAGTTTGGTATCATCGGCAAACCGCATCAGGGTACACTTGATCCCATCATCCAAATCCCTTATGAAGATATCAAACAGTGTTGGGCCCAATATTGATCCCTGGGGTACACCACCTGGTGACAAGTTGCCAGTTTGAAAAGGAGCTATTTACACCATCCTCTGGGTGTAGCCTGTCGCCTAGACTGTAATGCATCAGTTTCTCTAGGAGGAGGCTGTGGGAAACCGTATCGAAAGCCTTGGAGAAACCCAAGCAGACAATGTCCACCACTTGCCCCACATCAACTGAGCAGGTTCTTTTGTTGTAGAAGGCAATCAGGTTTGTCAAGCATGATTTGCCCTTGGTGAATTCCATGCTGGCTTTTCCCAATCACATGCTTCATTTGACTTGCGATAGCCCCAAAGATGATTCATTCCATAACTTTCCCAGGGACTGAAGTAAGACTGATGGGCCTATAATTTCCTGGATCGTCCTTTCAGCCCTTCTTGTAGATGGGGGTGACATTAGCCTTCTTCCAGTCTTCTGGGACATCCCTCGATCTCCACGACTTCTCAAAGATTATGGAGCGCGGCCTCACAATTGACATCAGCCAGCTCTCTTAACACCCTTGGGTGGATGTTGTCAGGGCCCATCAATCTGTAGGGGTCAAGCTCCTGTAATAGTTCACATACCGACTCTTCCTTCACTGATGGTGGGTCTACATTTGTACCAACCTGGATTTTTGTTCCCAAGGCCTGGGGCCCAACAGTGCTGGTAAAGACAGAGGTGAAGAAAGTGTTGAGAACCTCTGCCTTTTCAGCATTGTTGGTAATTAATTCACATCTCCTGCTTAGCAGCAGGCTAATATTTTCCTTCTGTTTCTGCTTGTCATTTATGTACCTGAAGAACCCTTTCTCACAGATTTTTTTTGACATCTCTGGCCAATTTCAATTTGAGCTGAGCTTTTGCTTTTCTAACTGTATCTCTGCATGCCATGACAATGCCCTTGTAGTTCTCAATGGGTGTTCGTCCATTTTTCCATCTCTGGTACACTTCTCTTTTGGTTTTGAGCAGACTCAGAAGTTTGCAGTTAAGCCAAGGGGGTTTCTTGCTCTGCCTACTTCCCTTACCTTTAGGGGGGATGAACTGGTTTTGTGCTTCCAGGACAGCATTCTTGAAAAACTCCAAGCACTCACTACCTCCTTTATCCTCCACGGAAGCTTCCCATGGAATCCCTCCCAGCTGAGCTCTGAGCAAGCTGAAGTTTGCTCCTCTCAAAATCTAAAAATCTAAAACCTTTGTCTTAGTACTAACCTTCAGTGCGGCTCAGCGGGATCCCAGACTCCACAATATTGTGATCACTGCAGCCAAGGTTATCACTAACTGAGATATCACAGAAAAGGTTTTCTTGGTTTGTGAGTAGCAAGTCCAGCAGTATCTCATTCCTGGTTGGTACATCTAACATGTATGCGGAAGCAGTCCTCTATGCATTCAAGGAACTTGATGGATGACACATGAGCTGCTGTATTGTTCTTCCAACAAATGCCTGAGTAGTTGAGGTCACCCATAAGAACAAGGTTCTGTTGACCCGAAGCTTGCTTAAGTGGCCCAAATATTGCTTCGTTGGCCTTCTCATCTTGGTTTGGAGGTTGGTAGCAGATGTCTACTTTAAGATCCCCCTTGGAGATGACCCCTCTGATCTGGACCTAGAGGCATTTGATAGGGCTTCCACAATCACTGTAGCTGACTCACTATACATTCAAGGTTCTCCTTAACATAGAGCATAACTCCTCCTCCTCTTCTTCCCTGCCTGTCTTTATGAAACAGCCTATAGCCATCCATCACGATCCTCTTAAGACATTTCCAATCTAACTGGACATTCAAACTGCTTCAGGAGTTTGAAACAGCATGCATTACCTTCTGGAAAAAAGAGTCACAAATTCCAGGCAATTGTACACACATATCAAGGCATCACAATGCAGGCTAATGGTTTAAATGCAGATTCTGGATACAAATGTATTTATGGAGTTCTGCTTAACTGTCACTGCAAGAGGTACATTAACAGGGGGGAATCCAGAGAGAAATGAAATTGATAAGGAAAGAAAAATCTCTATATAAGAATCTATACGCATAGAGTGAAATGACTTAAATTCAATGAACAGGGCTTGCAGGGGACAGAAGGGTTCAAAAGGACAGTGCCAAATGCTGATAGATCCTGTATATTCATAAATTGACTATCTCTGAAACTCTCTCATGCTGACTAGACAATCCAGCTGGATAGATTAAAAAAAAAAAAAGGCAGAACTGAGGCAAAATAAGAAATTAGTCAGGAAAGGAGTATCTTCCTTCAGCATGGTGTTTTCACCATTTTGAAGATATCATTTTGGTGCCTGTTTTCATGTTTTACCTCCCACCCACCAAACAAGCAAGAAACTGTATCAGTGGAAGCAATGAACAGCAGAAGTGTCATGGTCAGAACTACTTCAGCACTTGAACACAAACATTTCAGGAGTGGGAATGACATAAGAAAGGGTTCAAGTACACAAAACTACTCTTGCTATAGTTCTCAGAACAGTGTATGCTAGAGTGACTGCTTATTTTTATAAAAGGCAGAGATGTGTAGCTCCTAAATAATTAAGACTGCACACCAAACAGAACTTGCACTTGCATAACAGTTCAGAATAGGCCATTTGGTGGGAACAAGCACCACCATTCTTAGACTGCTACTTTGACTATTAAAAAGATTTGGCTTTGTGCGATAAGAAGATTCACATTTTTCCTTTCTTAAAAGACCTCCATTCATGAATGATTAATGCTCAACAAAAACAGTAATTATGTAACTTTGATCAAACTCATACACATCCAAATAAGACTTTCTGCTTCATAGCTGGATGCCCATCTTGTTTGCTGCCACAGCAAGGCACGATGTCTGAAAGAGCAGCAGATAGCACAGTACTACTTTATTAATGAGAGAGGGTAAGCCATTCCAAAAAAAAAAAAGCCAAACCCCCAAAAAACCAAGGCAGGTAACCTGGCAATGTGATTTCAAGAGAACTCTGGATCACCTTTCAAGCTCATAAACAATTTCTGCAGGATTTCTGCAAATTCAAAATAAGACCTACAGTCTCTGGAAGGCAGAATGTAAGGCCTTCTACTAGTATGGTGCAGACCTTACCTACAACATTACCTTCTTGTTAATTTCCACTCCTATTCAAGAGTGCCATTAGTAATCACCCATCATTTCTGCAGCAATCACAGCAATGGACAGAAAGACAATGTTATGAAATCATTCAGGGTACTTCAACAACTGTTTTAAAACAAACTGATAGCAGTTACAGCATGCTGAATACAATTGCTGGTGCAAAGTCAATTGTTTGTGAACCACTGTTATAAGTTAACCCGAACAAAGGCTGGCCACCCAATACTCCCTTAGCAAATGACAAGGTTTTGTTTTCACAAGCCTTAAAATGAAAACAAAACAAACCTTGGTATTTGTCACAAACACTTGTCTTGGTGTAACTTCTTTATTATTATTGTTGTGTGATTAAGAACAGAATCCAAGGAAGAGATAAAAAAGCTGCTCCTCAAGCCTTAGGGGAAGTGTTCTTGATTCATCCACTTCACTACCACAAAAATATATTTATTGGAATCTACAAATGCAAATAGAAAATTAAACTCTCATGCATTTCTCCTTACTCAGGCACCTTTTTTAATGCGCATGAAGGCAGGAAAACCTTGTTTCAAATGTAAGCCCTTTATGTCTTCCAATTCTTCTTAAATACCATCCTGCTGTAGGGA